GCTGCTCTGAGGGCTGTGCATTGTCTCACTGTGTGCAATCTTCCTTCATCTCCAAGTCTGACATGAAAAGTTCTTTTTCGCATAATGGTTTCACTGCAGAGGGATGAACTGTTGTTCTTCTGCCCTGTATTAAAGATTAATAGGTAGTTTGTCATCATAGTGTCGCTTCATGTTGAGGAGTATTTCTAGTGACTCCTTGATCAGTGTATTCCAGGTAATCACTGAGAGGCAATTAAAAGAGAGAAAAAAGGGCCCCTTTGAAGTTGCTGGCAGAAAAAGGAGTTCCTCCTCAGAGACTGCTTTCTGTAGAGGAACTTGAAGTTTGTATAATAATTATTATGTGAATATAATGGCATTTACACAGCCATTTCTCCTCCTACTTGCAAATGGACTTTCAACTCTGTTAAAAGACCTTCCAATAAACTATTGTGACTTAAAAGGATAACAGCACCCTTCTGACTGTGGGTTTGCTTGATCACGAGAATGGAACTGACTCAGAGCTTTCTGCAGTCTTCCAGTGTCTCTGCAAATAACCACCTGCAAAAAAAAAAAAAAAAAAACAAAACGGAGAGGGGGGAAAAACCCCAAATCACAGGCCCTCCCAGCTTAGTAACCAAGAGTTAGCAGGAAGAGGAAGATGGGAGAGATGGAACACATTTGATGATGTGGGTTAAAATGATATTTAAGAGCTGTTGTAACAATTTGGTTTCCTTGTGGCCTATAGAGGATTTTGTGCCATGCTGTTGGGRTTTTTCTACCAAAATTGTTCCAGCATGGGATGCAGAATATATTGGTCTAATATTGTGAAAAGATAAAGTCTGGCTGAAGTTTATAAACAAAAAAAATATTATGATTTGACTTAATGTTTTGGCATTTCCCCTATAGCCAACAGTTACTRTGATATGTTGTGCTCATAACACCCCAAGTCACCAGACCTATGTGTGATTTTAAGCACCGTCTCCTGCCACATTTCTGGCAGCTGCTCTTGTGCTTTTAGTCTTGTTTATCCCCTGCACAGTGAAAGCACGTGCGAGCTCACTGTGAATCAGTGCTGTAATCCGGATAATTGCCTCCTGACAGCCCCAACCCTGTCACTGGGAATAGCACACACTCTTTTGTCTGCTCAGACCTGRGAAAGTGGGGAGGAGCTGTCCTTACCACAACCCAGCTGTTGGGACAGTGGGGAATAGAGGATGAGGGCTGATTAACTTATGTTTGGAATAACATAAATAAATGCACTTGCATTACAGATGTGCAGTTTAGGAAGAAGGCTTGAGGGAAGGTGATCTAATTGTAATGGGACAATTTAAAAGTACTAATGTTTTGTAAAACAAAGAATCACAACAGTATTCAGCGATGAAGCAAAAAGATACAATTAAAATATTTAGAAATTTATAACTGCTAAAATTATTTTTGCTGTTATTTGCAATGGTTCCCCTTCCTTTTAGYTTTAGAAAGACTCCTAGTTTGTTACTCACAAAGGAAGAAGAAAAGAAAAAGGAAGCAAGAATATATAATTGTGCTTATTATAAGAAATAGTCAGAAACTGATTAGTGTGGGAGGAATTAATTATTAAATCTACCCACGCTCTCTGTTTTTTTTTAAATTTTTGCTATTCAATTATGCATCAGTAAATGTTATCATGCAATCACTGGCAAGGTGGTAATTAGTATTTATGAATTGCTCCTTTTAAGTCTGACCTTTTGATAAATTCCATTTGCGKAGGTGGTTTTAGGTATAGAGTGATCTTGAGCAACTGTGAATTTTTTTGTTTTGTTTTTCTCAGTTCTGAWTTTTTGATACACTGTTGCAGTAGCAGTGATTTACAATCCTCTTTTATTTTTGCTAATAAGAATAGGTGCTTTAATKCACAGAAAGGTACCCTTGTAAATCACTGAATTAAAAGAAAACAATTCKTAAGGGAAGGAAATGCATGTAAATAAGTGATCAGTGAGAAGTACTGTGAAAGGTGGTAAACAGATGCCTTTTAAAATCAAGCTTCTTATGTGGGTGCCTAAATGGGATTTAGATGCCTGTGTTTAATCAGACACTTACAAAGATTTTATGTTTTAATTATTTAAGAGCCCTTGAACAGAGCAGAGGTCAGTGGCATTTTCTTTACTGGCTAGTTRTACATCAGTATGACTTCATTCTGAAAATAACCATTTTTACCCCTTCTGAAACAGAAACCCAGTGTTCCTAATCCCCCACGCTCCAGTTTTGTAATGTCCAGAGGCTGTTAAAGGGGATTGTGGGAGTGAGTGGGATCACAGCTAATCAAACTGAGGGGATTGTGGTCAGCCCTGCTCACCCACTTGTCCAAAGGAAGGCTCCATGGAAGAAAAGCTCATTATGGCTTTGATTCCCAGCCTGTCCTGCCGACATGCTTTGTGCTTCTGTTGGAATGAGGCATTCTGGGGGTACAACTCTGCCAGAATCTATTTAAACATTCTTCAGCTAGAAAGGGAAAAAAACAACCATGAAAGAATGAATGGGAAACRAACTACTGCTTAGTTCAACCAAAAAATGAAAAGAGGACTCTTGTTTAATTTACGCATACACAAAATTATGTATTTGTGTGTATCTTAGATTSGTGTGATGTGTTTGGTTTTAATATTATGCTGAGGATTCATTGCTAGCTGGAGTGCTCCACTGAGCCAGGATTTCAGGGCACTTGCTCTCCTGAGGAAACAAGCTTGTCTGGATAAGAATTACAGAATCTTAAAGTTGAATTACCATGACTCACATCTTTTACGCTTTGAATTATATTGTTTGCTTATGGGATGGAGGATTACTTTCTAGTACGTTGATTTAATGCTTGCCAAGACACTATTTTTTTTTCCTTTCCTTTTTGCAAATATAAGAACAGTTGATATCAGAAATTCTGGTTTGATCAAAATGGGTTAAGTCTCATGGGTCACAGAGCTGTGCAGTCGCCTCGTGTCCCAGAGCAGGAGCAGAATGCTTCCTTCTGTCAGGAGTGCTCAAAGAGCAGCCCTAGGAGCAATAAATAACCCATGGCTGGGGTGTTTTTTTGTAGCTTTTTGGGCTTTTTTAAAGCTTTTAAGACTAATTTCAGTAGGATATATACCTATATATGCACACAGTCTTGCACCATCTGATGGGCAAATGTACCCTTGATTTCAATTTTTCTCAATTTGAACAGTATAAGGTAACTTTGCAGAGTTGGCCTGGCAAATATGAAATATTCCATTAGGTTTTAGATGTGAAATTAAACTCGGGGATAAATTATTTTTATAAAACTATTTTTCTAAGCTCTGCAAGTGGTTTTGAAATGTATTGAGTCATAAAGATGCTTCAGCTGGACAATAATTCTGTTACTGAAACTGGATATGGAGAAGAAAATACATTGAATTTCTTTGCCTTCTTGGTTTCACTTTTTTAGCCATTCCTTTTTTTTTAAAAAAATAGAATACTGATAATAACACCATTAATATTATGTGCTGGTGTGATTTAACTACATACAAGTACAATTCTTTGAACAGCAATAGAAATAAAGACTCTAATTTTATTTAAGTAAAAAAAGACATGGCTAAAACTGGAAATTTTAAGGCTCCAAGGAAAGARTTGTGTTCATGTTTTTTTTCTGATTARAAGAGTTTAGTTTTGAGTTCTAGTYATGTTGCATTAATGAATAGTACTGTCCAGCAAAATAAATGCAAAAATTCATTAAAGTTGCAGGAAAATACCAACATCTTAGTTAATTTTCTTTGAGAACTGATTCCTTCTGACTGAAGATGAGTTTATCTTTGGGACTTCAATATTTTGCCACCTTAAAGTCTTTGGTGCTTTTACATTTTTGTTTTTACATGCATTACACAATTGAATGATACTTTGGTGCTCTTGAGATTTTTAGGTCAGTTTAACTTTGTGGTCATAAACAGGAAAACCATTATAATCTTCAATTTTTTTTAATTTTTAAAAATTTGCCTTTAGGTCAGTCTGCACTGCTTTGTTTTTTCAGCTTTCAGAGAAATTTGAATGTAAAACTGATGTGAGAAATGTTCTTTTAGAAACAAAGCCTTGTGTGCACATGCAGAACCAAAGATACCTTTTAATTTAGGTTTTGGGGTTCTTTTTCCACTTAAGTAGGAGAAAGTATTTGTTTAATTTCCACATTTGGTCCCTAATGTAATGGATCAGCTTAGCTGGGARCTGAACTGAGATGCTTAATGAGCASACTTTAGCTGYAGTRTATTCTTACATCTGGAAAAGCATTAAATAATACTAAGGAGTTGTGGGAAGAGATGTAGAGGTGTCCTTTATGAATGATTTATGAGAGTTCACGCTCTTTCACACACAATGAAAATGGATTCATGCTAATGATCTACATTTTGATCTTCAGAACTTTAGCAGTAGTATTATGTCACTAAATGCTATGTTTAATAAGTGGAAATATATGGTATTAAAATATTTCTAAGCAGTTTTTCCTGTATTAGGAGAAAAATGTGTTCAAGTATGATAYACTGTTTCCACTGCCATCTTGATTTCTACATTCTCTATTTCAAATCCTATATTGGAGTTCATGCTTCTAAAGCATTTAAGTTTCTTGAGCAGCGTTTTTTTTTATTTGCCTTTTGCCAGCCACCCTCGAGCAATCTGCAGGACTTGAGCAGTAAAAGATAGAGGAGAGGTGCCTCTTGGCATTCTGGAAGGCAAATGCTTTTGCATGAACTGCTCTCTAAAGTTTATATTTAGAGGTTGACTAAAACTGTTTCCTTTTGCCTTCAGCCCCACTATCGTTCACGCCAATTAGGCTCACTGACTAATGTTGATTATGTAATCATTAGTGCCATTCCATTGTTGTCAAATTCCCCTAAAACAAGATATGTGAGTTATTAATCTTGAGTTATTTTCCAATTCACTTTCCAGATGTTGTGCAACAGCTCTGCTGCTCTGTGATGCTCCAGAAAGCTGAAAACCTGAGATTTGCTGGGCTGACTCACACCTGAGATTTGCTGTGCTGATTCACGTGACCTGTGGTCGGTATCTATCAACAAAGACCAGTTGCCACTTAGTGTGGAGGAAACCCAGAGCACTCAAAAAGAAATGCTTCTCAGAGGTAAGACAGCTTACTTTTAAAAAAATTATTCTCTCTAGAGTGATGAATTCTGACTGTTTGAAACTGTGCAGTTGTGGTGTATTTGTCCAAGGAAAGCAGCAAAAGGTAAAGGGGAAAACGGAAGCAGCTCTTTAGCCTTGAGTTTTGAATTTTTCCTCTAAGGTTTATATAAGCTTTCAAATCAAGATTTTGCTGCAGTTAGGGTACCTGTTTCTTGTTGCTAAAGAATTTACATGGGGTTCCTCCTCTTACATTCAGAAAATGGAAAAATAATACCTGAAAACTTAAAGACTGCTGATGCSCCTTCTAATCTGCTCCAGAAGGCCAATTAGCAAATTAATGTACATTCTTGTGCTGTACTCTGCCTATTTTATGAAGTTAGCCTCTTCCACATCCTGGTGTGATAAAGTGGGGAGGGAGGCAGTACACTGCATTTTTACCAGCTGCCTGTTGGGAAGCAGACTGGAAATGAACTCTGAGCAATGTGTACCTAAGCCTGACTTAAAGAGCTTCCACAGGGAAATCTGAGCACAGGTTTTGTTGTGGACACTTTGGGGATGACTTTTATTGCTGCTGCTGTGCAAAGKCCTTGTTACAGCCATTTATATTAAGCTGCACCCTGGGGTGATCAGTCTTGTGTCGATGGGCCGGAGGGAGGTGATGGGGGTACATGGCTGCTGTAAAAAGGCTGCGTTTGGAGGAAATATCATGGCTTGGATTTGACCTCTGCAGCAAATGAGCTGTGGAAATCTTTGGAGCTCTCACCCAGAAAAGCAGAAAGCATGCATTTTCCTCATCAAATGGCCTTCAACTGTTTAACTTATTTTCCTGTTGCTACAAGGGCAAAAGCCTTTCTATATCTTTGCCTCTCGATCTTGTCTTTTATTATTTCTGGATAGTTTTAGMTGAGGCAAGACACACTTGTCATGCTTGGCTTTATAATTTTCTTCCTGAGTGTGATTATAGTGAAAAATATGAGACAAAGRAGTAGGAGGGGAGAGAAAAGCTTTGAAATTGTGCATGTGGGCTGTAGCTGGCACCCCTAGGTGAGTTAATTAGCATGGTGGAGCCTGCCTGCCCAGGCTATTAGTACTCAGAACTGTGGTRTTGGTGCTTTGAAAATGCTCTTGAAATGAAGACTGCTCACAGAGCTGGAAGGTGATATTTTGTGTTCTTGTCTATACATTTTGCTGCAATTTCATACTTCCAGGAGACTGCTAACAGTGTYATATGAGTTTATGCTGTTGCTGTGATTTATTTTTTTGAAACGTCTTAAAAGCTACAAGCAAAAGCCTGAGAAGTTAGGAAGTTGAAATAAAGAAGGGATTATATTTGCTTCAATCGGGATTGAAATGTGAATGTTATTGTTTGGGTTTTTTTTGAGAAAATACCCTTGTTGCAACTCACACTTTCTCTGTTAGACATCTCRGTCAATTTTTAGAAGCTGCAGTCTTTACTGATCAACTTCTGGTACTTTTTGAAGACTGATCAGTAACCAACCATTCCTCTCAAACAGTGGTGCAGTGGACACAGGGCCAAAGGCTCTGTCTGACAGTTTCTGTCTCATAGGTCTGTAATGGTTACAGATGAGTGTTTGCCTCTCTGTTGTAGGACACCCTCTCCCACAGTAAAASCAGCAAAAATAGCACATAATTGACGTGGTAACAGCACATTGGTTTGTGTGTTGGAACACCCTCCATCAGCAAAAGCTACACATGGCTGTGATGCTGAAAGCTTTTCCCCTTCCTCACTGAGCAGCATAAAGTAGAGAAAAAAATAAAATAAGTCCCCAGGTATCAGATGCCAAAGTCACTTAAACCTGTAATTTAGATGATCTGGCAAAGATTTCAAATTCTGTGAAAGTTTTTTGGGATCTGTCTGTGATATCAGCTTTTGCCAAAATCTCTGTGATAGYTGCAGAGAAAACAGACTAGTTATTGGGTTTTCTTCCTTAGATTATCTATTAGGATGCTTAACCACTTGCTTTATATGCCGTGGTTCTTCATTTAACCAGATGAAATYTAGTATCAGATTCAGTTATTTGTCTGAATCTCATTTATTTCTTGCTGTTAGACCAGGAAAATAGGTTCTTATGCTTTATTAATAAAGAGTCAACATCTTCATCCATAATTCTGTTCTCTCCATGCCTCTTTGTGTATGGATTTGTAATGTAATGTTGAATCAAAGTGCAGAGTCTATAATACAAATTCAACTGAATCTGTCCATTTTGGGTCAGTATGTTGGAAAAAATATACTCATTTATGGTCAATACCAATACCTGTGTCAAAGGAAAGCAAAAAGACTTTAATTTGGGGAGAGTGATAASATAGGTATGATGTGGAAAATAATGAAAATAATGAAGGGAAAGAATAATAATAATGAAAAACAAAGTATTGTGAGCTCTAAGAACTTCTAAAAAAGCAAAAATTCTACCCTCTGTTCTTTAGCTAACTTCTGATACAGACTTTAAGAATTTACATAGAAACAGAAAGCATTATCTGCTAATATTCAGGCAGTCAGATAGTCAAGTATTTTGTCCTTTTGAAGGAATTTAAAATGCTAATGAATGATTAGGCTTTACTAACAAGCTGCCTAATTTCACTTGCAATGATTTAACAAAAGTGTTTTCCATCTGGGAGAGCCGAGAAACAAACAACTCAATTTTTGCCAACAGATTTTTTAATTTATTGTTCTTTCTGAGGTTGCATTATGATAGAGCCATGTAAAGGGAGTTATTTGCTGTTTCTGGTCCCTGTCAGAAAAATACACATGGGTAATCTTGTTAGAAGAGGAAAAATTTATCCAGAAGACTTATGTCAACACATTCTCTACAGCTTTTTTTTTTTTTATTTTTTTTTTAAAAGCAAAGATTGAGTATCATATTTTTCAAAGTGAAGAACCAAACACTTCTCTAAGATGGGATATTCAAATCTTTGAGGCTTATTTCTAGAGCACCAGTTAGGGAATTCTGGGGCCATGTTGCAGAACTCCAATAAATGCATTATATTATGTAGAAAAATCTAAAGGGAAAGACATTATGAATTTTGTATAAAAAATACTAAATAACAAAAAAATGCATTTATAATATATTTTTGTAGTTTCTTAGGGCACTTTATTCTCATAGTGCAATACAATAATCTTTTGGGTTATGGCATCTGTAAGAACCACACAGAAAGTATGCATTTTTTGGCATTCAGAGTGGATATTATTTAATGACAATGCTGTGTGATATTGGCTGGCACTTTCATCACGTCCTTAAAAGCTCTATTTATTCCTTCTTCACTCCTTTCCCCTCTGTTTCAAATAACTTATTTCACTTAATTTCCCTTAGAGTTCTAAAACTTGCCCTTTTGAAGTGAGGGATAATGGAGATGTGAACAAATATTTAATTCTCTTTGGTCTGGTGCAAATGCAAAGTATTTATCTTTAGGTTTTTTCCTTTTTTAAGTCTAAGAACTTGACATAGAATAAAATTGTATAGTGCAGGCATCCTAGGTAAAAACATGAATATTTTTCCACCAGTATCTCTGTTAACTAGTGATATTTTCATCCCATTTGCATAAACAAGATTCTCTGCCTTGTGTACTCTAATAATGTACTGAATGCGTGCTGTCGAGCCAGCAAGGGATCACAATGTGCATACAACCATTTACATGGCAAATTCCTCTAATTCTGACTGTGGCTGTGCATGCATTTGGAGCTGTGGATGTCCTTGGAACAGTCAGTTTAATCTGCACTTTGCAGCATCCACCCCTCAGCCTTGAAAACACACTGAGAACAACAGCAGAATTTGTTCTTTGTATGAATTTGCTTAATAAGAATAAATGGTGCCAGCTCCAATGGCAAAATGTTCAGGTGAGAAAAGTGTTTCCATGTCACATCATTGTGGTGAGTATCACTTGTAAAATAAAGGAAGGGACTTTTATCACARTTGGATTGTTATTATAGACATATTACAGATTTAGTTTTTATTGGTTGTAGAATTGTTATGCCTATTTGCTGCTTACACTGGCAGGTCTTCTAAGTTTTCCTAAGTAAAAGTTTAAAATTACAATATTAGAGGCCCGTAGTGCTGCTGCTAATGTAGGGAGCTATGAAATTAAAATATTTATGGTCAATTAATTCCTATTGACTTCAGTATACCTAAGATCAGACAAYAAATTCCTCCTTTCTCACTGTTTTCTTAGCCTTATTGAACTGGAGTAATGACATACAGACACTCTCTCCCCATTTTATTTCTCTCCTTTGAGATCTTAAAAGGAAATGGTGAAGTAAAAAATGAGGTGTTGGGAAAGAAAAAAGGTTCTTCTYTCAGGCAGTAAGTGAGCTGCAGTAACTTTGGTCTTGGAGCCTTGTTCTGCACTGCAGGGTAGAGTGACTGAGCTCTGGATCATGTGCTCATGTGAGGTTTATGTTCTGATTTTCTACTTTCCTGTGCCAGAGAGCAAAATCCTAGAATGTTCACATCACTTGCCAGACTGATTGAACCTCACCAAAGTTAAATCAAATGCAAAGATAAATATTCCTAAACATAAATTATGATAAAGTTATTTTGTGGTAATTTATTGATTGAGCAGGTCTTACATTTATTTGTTTTTATTTTATACAAGTGTATTAGATTCCTTTTTATGTTTTTCACCCAGTTTAAGGATTGGTTTATTTTGGTAATGTAAAAATTTAACTCATATTAGTAAATGGTGAAATGAAAAAGCTCAACATTAAAGAAAATGTTCCTTTAAAGGATTTCCTTTAAAGATTTTATGTGCTGGATTAAGTTAATGCTGTTTTCATTAGAAATTTTCATTGAGTCCCATCTGTTTGAATATACAGCAATGATGAATTATTAATGTGCAGTGCTGTAAGAGAATAGTCATTTACTGACAGAAAACAGCATTTGGTTTGATACAGGAAATTAAATCACTTTATGCTTGTGAGGCTTGTTAATTATATCTGAAGTAAAGGATTTTAATTGATCTCAGTACTTGCTGTGCAAAATAATT